TTACAATGACATGCTTGACAACTACTGAACAGCAGAGCGGTAGTACCCACTTGTCCACCTTCTTATTTCTTATTTTTATTTGTGTCTGTCATCACCTTTTAGGACAGTAAAAATGCTTAGATTTTCTTCAATAGCATATTTTCTAATGGTAAAGTGAATCTAGTTTGTACTTTGGGGGGTGAATGTAAAAATATTCTAGTAGTTTTCAAAAGCAAAGGGAGAAACAAAAAAAAAATTAAGAAAAAACGGGAATTTGTATACAAAATTGGTTTTGATTTTTGCTGTAACTCAAAAACAAATTACCGTAGATACCACAGATTTTATTGAATGTTTATACAAGAATTTTCTATACACCATACAATTTTCAAAATATTTTGACTTGTTTTGAGCTGTTTACTATTTTGAATTTCGACAAAATACGTAAACATTTAATACCAAATTCATCTTAAGTTTTTATTTACAATATATATTTATTTTATCAATTATACTTGATAATATTTTCAAAATATTTAATATTTTGACTTGTTTCTTGTTGAATACGGACATTTTCAATTTTTCTAGTTTGTTTTATATAAATGTCAATACAAGTTTATTCGTTGGGTCAAAATTATTGAAAATTTAATGCAAAGTTCCTCATACATTGTTAAAATATCAGCTTATAAATATTAAAAATACATAGTCAAGATTTTTTGTATAAACATTTCGAATTTTGACAAAATGTATGAAATCTAAAAATTAAAAATTATTTTTAGTTAAAAATGTATAAAATGTTCAACTTTTAAAGCTAAGGATTGAAAATCTAAAACAAGGTTACACGTATAGTTATTTTAAGTTAAAATTTGGGCGAAATTTCATATTAAATAACCAAGAATAACTATTTTAGTTATTTTTTTGTAATTTTATAATATTGATTCAACTTACCGACTACCGTATTAATAATAAGTTAAAACAAAATAAATAAAGTATAAAATATAAAATATCCTAAACCGCTCTCCGCTCAGAACTGTTTTACGTATACAATGATATTTTATCATTGAATTCAAATTTAATACTATCCATTACAGTGACCCACTTGTAGCCTACTGTAGGTACAGCGGAGCAACATCCATTTACCCGCTTTTTTTAAAGTATTACTTATTCGTTTAACTCTGTCTAATGTTGTTTATGCTGTCCGCTCAAGTATAATATGTAGTAGTACCCATACCAATTTCCAATTACAAAAAAAAATATTCCTTACAAGACCGAGGTAGGTACTCTTGCGGTATGGCGTTTGGTGGCCCGGCAATATAATAATATATTACACGCGGTGTGACTCAATCCGGTTTCCGCGGAAATTACAATGAGTTGCATGATGAGAAGAAAAAGTAAAAAGTAAAAATACGCTTATGATACATCCGTTTTTCGTCACTGCCGCCGCCGCTGTTCGCCAATTAGACGCACGTATGGTCTTTATTATAATATATTATTTTAATACATCAAGGTAGACGCGAGCGCGCAACAGGTCGCGCGCGTATGGCTGGGTATAATATTATGTATTGTACAGCCGCCACCTCCTACTTTGTTCACGACACGATAAAGTGTTGTTATTATTATTACGCTGGCCGTCTGCTACCTACAAGTGTATAATAAAAATATGAAGGTACGTGTGCACAATATACATATAGGTGTATAATATAATAATGTGATACAATTAATAATTATTATTTATTACGTATATATGATATACTTCGATCAGCCACGTGTTATTACTATATCCGCCTGTACTTACTACCTATTGGTGTTCTCGCAGACGTATAAATATAATTATTGATCATTATATTATGCGTGTACCGGTGCAGACTCCGCGGCACGTATTTCTGAGAACTATCATTCGTAACAATTTTTTATATAATAATATATGACCGGATTGGGAATTTTTTTTCATCGTGATACGACATAGTGAGTACTTACTGGCTACTATATAAACATAATAACATACCTATATTGTCCATACGCTATTAAATATAGTTCACTATATAAATTAATAATACCTATGTATATTGTATTACACGAACTAACAGCAGTGTAATATTATGTTATATTATATTTAGTGCGCGGCGCCGCGATAATTTATTATTCTCGTCGCGGCGACATATATGGCAATGATCGAGGCGAAATCGCTGCCGCAGATTTAGGTAGTAATATTATATACGATAATATTTATTCGTTCTAAATTTTTTTTTTAAGTAATTTTCATTAACCCTGTCTAGCTGCCCAAAAATAACATCGACACTCAATAAATGAAGCAGAATTTTTAGCAATGCAGTAGTGAGAGACCGAGCGAAAAACGTTCGTTTCTACATCACGAGTATCTTACGAGAGACTGATAGTGTATAATATACTCTTTGATTCATTGATTGCCAAAGGTGATTGATACACTAGTAAACATATACCTATTTGGTTAAAATTCATCTCAACACAATGTAATTAAAATGTATATACGGATAATTTGAAAGTGTACTATTTTTAAAGTGTAAGTAACTAAGTAAGTAGTACCTGGTACCCACTCTTTAGAGTTCTTATTTTTTTCGCTCCACAACTCATCGAAAGCGTTTGCGTCTGTTACAAGACCACTCTAAAATTCACTATCTTGAATGTGTTCTACCCAATTTGTTGAACCTAGTGGCTAGTTGTTCAACTTAGTTGCTTAAAGTGTATCAGCAGCCGCCTATTATAATTTTTCTACTTTTAAATATGTTAAATTGTTTATTTATTTCGTATGTATAAAAACAATTACTTAAATGTTCCATTCAATATAGAATAAAGCTTTTTAATCACACAAAAAATATAAACTATAATTATTGAATTATAAAAAATGCATTTATTTTTTTATTTACATTTCGTATTTACGTTTATTATTGTATGCAGTACAATTTTTATAAACTTGAAAACTGGACTCAGTGCTAATTTGCAGAATTTATTCGAAATAATAAGCTAAAATTAACTTGACTTATTTTTGAGTTGATCTTAAGTTGAATAATGGAAACTTTTATTGTGTCGAAATCCTGAATTTGTCACCAGGAAACCACAGAACTGCGATCCATAGTATTTTTTAATGCACTATATAGTATTTCAAAAATGTAATAAATCTTAATTTATTAAATTAATATAGTTTTAATAATTTAATAATTTATTCATTATTCTTAATACAATTATTTATTGACATCACAGTTGACAATTACTACTAATTTAGGTAGGTACTTGTTTTCTTTCTACGCTAAAACCCATTCTAATTTTTTAAATGTTCTTTACTACTATTATATAATATGATTATGTTTAAATATAATCATGTACCTACGTAAAGCAGTTTAAGTACAAATGTATTTATGTGCGTGTGTGTAATACATGGTTAAATATAGGTACCACGGTCACGGCGGTCAACTCGTCGACGGCATCAGCAGCAGCAATGGATGACCTGTAAACGCATGCACACACGCATTTATAGGCGTATAGTGAGGGGTGGTGGCGGGGGAGGGGCTGTGTAGTGGGCCGCTCATACAGCCCCGCTCCCGTTCTGCAGAAAGACTTTAATTTAAATCACCGATAGCCATAATGTCGACAAAGAAATTCTCGAACGAAGAAGACTTAAAAATAATATCGTAAATGTATTATTTAATATAGGTGGTTAAAGTGGTCCCTGAAGACATAGTACGATACCGCAGGTAAGCAATGATTGGCAAGCGCAGTACCGCACTAGCAGAACGGTGCTGCAGTGACGATGTAACAACTGCAACAGCTGCACTCCGGCTGCAGTGCTTGAAACGTATTTAACGAATAGCACTCTTGTGCGCTAAATAATAATGAACAATAGCGAGGCACTAGGAATTTAATTTTTGTAAAAGTGCAATATTTTAATTTTAACTGATGGTACATCCGTATTTTGTACCAATATGATTACACACTTCAACACTTGTATAATATTATATCACAAATCATAATACCAAGAATATTTTCATTTTATGTACGCAATGGCAAGCAAGAAATCTTAGTCTCTCGGTGCGAACGAAAAAATCCACAGGGACGCCCACGTGTCCGTTTTGTTTAAACTTTAAACCGATACCTTCGTAATAATTATATCGATTGGTGCCGGAGACGGACCTATAGGTACCTCCTCAAATTGGCTATGTCGTAATGCGCGCGTGGCGCGTCTCGTTGAAACCAAAACGAATAAAAATAAGTACCAATATGACATACAACAACTACAAACGGACGCATCGCTCTCGAGTTTAGTTGGTGGGAGGGGGCAATAGAGACTTTCTGGAGTGTCCCACCTGGGAACACGCACGCACACGCACTCGAGTTGCATTCTCTATATCGATATGTATGGTCGTTGACGAAACAATATAATTAGGCGACCCGCGCGCAGTGACGACGACGATACGTCATCGTCGTCACACCGAATCGTCACGAAACCTCATCGAACGGCGGCGGCCGGTGAACGAGCAGTGATCGAGTACGTGCAGACGCTTGAGCCTCGTGTCTAATAATATTTATTTATTTTACTTTTCTTCTTTGCGGGCGCCGGTAGTGTAAAACGACTACTTTAGCCGCCACCACAACAACAACAATAATAATAATAGTGTAATCGTACTTTGACGCCGCGGCGGTATAAAACGTGCGGTCCGTCGGTCGCACGCGTTCAGTCCGCATTAACGACCGTGCACGGCGGTCGCGAGCAACCGACCACGCACACCGGATCCTCCGCGAACGAATAACGCACTCTCGCCGCCCGCGCACGCAGCTATAGACGACGTATTGCCCCGGACCGCGGTCGCGTGCATCATCATCGCTTCCCGGACCGTGGTCGTATACAATAATACGACCTCTTAAGCGCGAAACACAAACGCCGTCCGCATCGATTATTATTGTTGTACATTTTAAGCTGATCGTATTCGCGGACGGACGGTACATCTCGACGGCGTGCTTACCGCGATCGCCTCGTAACGTAAAATAATATTATGATGGGCAGCGCCGACGTCTGGTGGTCGCACGTGCCGGTCGTCGGCCGCGCGGTCCGATTCGCCGTGCTTTTGATCGTCCTTCGTCTCGCCGATTTCATGACGGCGGTGACGTGCGCCGACGACGACAGACACCAGCAACACCTTCAGCAGCAGCAGCACGTCCATCTCACTGAACTGGGACGTAACATAATCAAAGGGTTGAAACTGGAAAAGTTACCGGACATGACCAAGGTAGAATAATATAACTTACCTGTATTGACTGTTTTTCTCGGAGGTTTTAGTGTGACGAGGGGGCAGCTTTAAAATTAGACATCGCGTAGCCGCATAGTTTAGGTACTAAATTAATCTTTTATAAAAGTAGTATATAATCATAATGCTACCTATTTTATTTAATTATGATTTTGATGCTTATAATTGCATTGCGTTATGATATATATACATAGATCATATTATTATTATATGTCTTCACATAAGAAGATGAGGTCAGATATAAAAAATATGGCCAAAAGTATTTACATCGAACTGGACGAGGGCAGACAGGGCAGTAAATATGCTACACAAGCAACATAATCATACATAAATTATAAATACGGCACACTGGATACACTATAGTTACAATACTTATACATCATGATACGGATACGTGGGTATTACGTGGACGCGTATTTACATGGGTCCGCTTTTACGGAGTAAGAGGAGAGACAGTAGCCTCAGGGTGTAATATGGTCTGGTATTTAACGAATGAAAAAATAAAACAAATGTGCATTACAATTTCTTGAGTCAAAGTATCATGAGTCACGACTGTTTTTGTTATCATCGTGTACAAAATAATAATAATAGGCACTTAAAGTTATATTTTATAACCCTATAGTCATAATAGGGATGCATACGATTTGTATAATATGGTTTGACACGGTTCTGCGAACATTACCTATGGATTATGATCGCTTAAAATGACCATAGAGTATTATGTTTGATGTTGCTACACCAGCTTACTGACTTTTCGTTGTTTTTTTTAGAATATATAGGTTTTGTATCCATGTTACAATCCACTCAAAACGAAAGAAGATTTTTGAATTATAGGCTAAACGATAGTAAATACAGATTTATCATATTTAATGGCTGAAGAGGAACTCCTGGGTGCTGTTACCACGGGTGGTTAGAATTTTTATATTTATACATTTATCTCTTATAATGATGATTTCTATGAGGGAAATTTTTCTTTTTTGTTTGGCACAGATTGACAAAATATAGCTTATAAACAGGAAGATTAAACATTATATATTTACAAAGATTTTAATGAATACAGTAGGATCATCTCTGGGCGAGTCGTCTCATTGAATCATCTGAAAATGTTTTACACGTGAGCTATGGTCCTGTACTTCTGTGGAATCTATATTATAGAACACGGTAGCAGTTCGATCTATAATCGTCTCTACTTTTACTTTTTAGCCATATTCATTTGTATCAATAATTTTTTTTTTTAATTTTTGTTTTTTATTATTAATTGGGCTTAAACCAATCGAAATATCACAACAAATTATAATGATGAAACATTTTAAATTCTATAAAAATGAATAAATATACAAATTAGTAAAATTAATTTATTAGTTCATAGAAAATACATCGTAAAGTAAACAATAAAAATTAACATATTAACTCTTGCTTGAACATCTTGACTAGTATAAGAATACCTACGACCAACATTGGACACTGGTTAGATTATACGTATGTCTTATTTATTATATACGATTTGAAATCTAAAACGTATCAGCTCACATCCGTTTTTGTTTATTGGTATAGGTATACATAATATAATATACACTATACAGGTATTATATAGATATAGGTATTAATGTATTAATACTATATATACCAGCTCGCGCGCGCTTCTCTTTAATGATTTTCAGTTTCAATGACTTTTAAGCGGTGGCGGCTTCGGTCATAAATTGTACGCTCCCAAATATACTAATAAACTAATCTAGGATTAGAAATTTCAAATCGCCGCATAGCATAGACGACGTCGCATAATATACTGTAAGATAATCGTTTGGTAGGCAGATGCCAGATGGGGATACTATAAAATTAGTACATTATTATATTATTAAAGTCCGTGGCCGATATAATATAGTCGATGTTAATCAGTAATCACGTATTTCTCGTTTTACTGTATTATAATATATTACATTTTAAATACGCGTCCACGTGCACTCACGTTTGACACACGCGAGTATAGGGGACATCTTATATATATATGCCTCATATTCTATAAAATAGGTATACTCACAAACGTTCCGCCTTGGCTCTCGGCATATTAGTAGGTATATAAAATTATATAGGTGCCTCTTATATGTACAGACTGTGAACAGTAATGAAACAATGATTGCACACGGCGATCTGACGATTGGAAAGTATATATAGGTAAGATAAATATATTTAAAATGAATAATAATATTCCGTTTCGCAATCAATGGTTATATTATGTGGGTGTCTTATTATACATTTTAAATGACACTGGTTACACATAGGGACCATTATATGATTTGTTCGACTTAGGTACATTCCAATTGGGTTATTTAAAAAGAAAAATTAGGTACCTACCGATTTATCGGTTTCGCTCCATAAAACTACAGAATAATGTTTCCGGTTCCGATAAATATCGGTATTTAGAGGTATAGTTTTTTTACAAAATGTAAAAAAAAAAAGATTAGGTTATTAAGCAAAAATGTGATTTATCAAATGATAAGATCTTATAATAGTTGTCAAAAGGGTTGAAGAAACTGAGGTTTACTATTTTAGTTATAAAAAAATTAAAACTATAATAAATAATAATTAATAGTTACTCAAATACTAATGTATTACATTATTACTTACTATTAAAATTACTTATACTTGATCTATGACCATTACAACTGTCTTTAAATACGTAGTTTTTATAATATTATGTAAAATATGTATAAATTGATAATGTTTAGATTAAGTGATCTTAGAATGTCACATTGCTCACGATGTATATAGTGTATATTATACTAAACAGCCATAACTCAACACACTAACAAAAAAGATGTTATGTCAACAGTCAACACTGTGTTACAGTATATTACAGTATTATTAGTAATAAGTGATGTTAATATTATACGTACTATAATATGCTATTTTATTTTTATAAGAAACTATTCATAAATTATTAAGCACATAATATATTGTATAATATTATGTAATATGTCCGTTTAAATAAATGGGTCCTTATAATATTATATATTTATTATTATTAATCCATGCACAATTTGATAACAATTTATACGGGGGTGAGTATTTAATATTTATGACAGTTTTATCAATAATTGTATTAGTTATCAACGTCACCAGACGTCGGCGTCCAAAACTATAATCATGATACGATGGGTTATAACTAACGGAATGGGGAATAACAATTTATATTTTTTTTTGGGGGGGGGGGGAGAACTGTTCTTATTTTATCGTTTTCTGAAACTAGAACTTTAATAAATTATAAAAATAGACAAATGTAAATACAATATACATGTACCTATATGGCTATATTATATTTACAACATCTACCATATTCAATAAACCAATCATTATTATCCACATAAATAAAAATGGAACCGAAAAATAAACCGAAAATCCTCTACCATTACATTTTATTACCATATACATGTATACCTTATTAACGCATTGAACAAGCATTAAAATTTTATATATATTATAATACGTAAATTAATTTTTAGATTCTAAACGGAGAGACCTGACAAACGGTCTTCGCTCAAATCGGTTTTGGTAGGTATACAGTATACTACAATTATTTATTATTTTATTCAAATTTAACAAATACGTTACAATGTTGAAGAACTCTCGATAGTATCTACAACAGACTAGCAGAGTAACTTCTCCAGTTTTTTTTTTTTTTTTGGTAACTTAATAAGCTAAACTATGTAGGTACCTATTGAGAAGAGTTTCAATAATGAATATACATGAACATTATAATCCATTCGATTTTAAAGGAAACAAAAATGTTACTGTATCTTTTACCACAACTACTATCGGCAGCTAGGTATGTTTGATATTCGCAGTCCTACGTTGAAGTTGGGTGATTTACTGCAATAAGTCAAACTTATTTCCTAAATACACTTTTTTTAATCCATTTAATAATTTGTTAAATTTTCTTTATTTTTGAATATATAGGTACCTACGTTTAATAAATAGATTGAAACTATTTTGGGTGTACTAGACTTTTCTAATATTTTGTTTTTGTGTACCTATATCATACAACTTTTTTTTTATATATATTATAAAAACTAACTATTTTATAAATCTTTAGTCCAAGCTTAAAAATATCATTCTACGAGAAATTACAATTGTAATGAATTGCTTAAGTTCTTATTTTAGTGGGTACCTACCTAGCAAGTGTATGAGTATAATTTGTAACATTAATTTAACTCACAGAACTTAAGGTGTATCATATAATACATAATTAATTTTTATGTTTACGGTGTGCAAGCGAAGATTCTTAATAAATTAGATATAACAATCAATGTACATGTATAGGTATCAGTGAAGTGTACTGGTTTTCGATATCTTTAATTGGTGTATATTCATATTCGTTGATTCATATTATAGATAGAAGAGTGTGTGATCATTAAAGTGTTAATAAGAAAAAAACAATCATAACATTAATAAATAGTTTCCGTATTATAAAAATATATTTATGATATTATATTATATTATACTCATCCAAATCTAAGAATGCGGGTTACGTAAACTAAAAGAATTATGGGATTTTAATTGTTCAAAAGATAAAAAAAATAGTTTGTTTCGCTTCTTGACAAATACCATTAATGCGTTTCGTGCACAATACATGATAATCGTATAACGATCGATACATTAACTTCGTCGTTGGAATTCTCCCATTTCTTTTTCGAGTTATAAAATAACATAATAATGTATATTACTATACTATATACCTACTCAAATTGTGACTGCGTCCATTAAGAAGGAATTCGTGTATACAAATATAATCGAAATGTTTAGGCTTGTATACAAGTTCCTCATTATCTATTAAACTGTAGTATATATTTTACATATATAGGTACCGTATAATACAAATGCTACGCTTTGTACTTTGTGACTTGCATCAAAAAAACCAATTAGGTAGGTAATAAATTACGTATTCTGAATAGGTATGTAAATATAAAAAAACTATTTTTTAAAGAAAGAACCGTGTTTCCGACATATAAACATGTTGTAGTTTTGTGACATGTGTTTATAATCGTATGTACGAGACAATTTAAAAATCTCGCCATCAATACATTATTACAATGCATTTAATACCTATAATTATAATTTATAGGTGAATAAGTTGCGAATGTATCCTTATTACGTTTTTCAAACAATCAAAACATAATCGTTGAAATTTTAAATTTTAATTTCAACTTTCCCGTTACGTCAACGACATTGCTAATTATTATTATTATTATCCGTCGGCACCTATACATTTGAAAAACCTTCAATTGTTTTTCCCCGTTTAGTATTGGACGATAAAATTACACGTTATGTCGTAATTCTGTCCTAAAATTAAGAAATCTAGTCTTGATTAATATATAAATGAAATAAGTTTTTTTTTTATTATTCAATTTACCTACTAAATCGATACATAAATAATACATTCAAATATGAACGTATTTATATTTATAAAGACACCTGAGAAATGCATATTTTAATTGATTTTAAAAAAAATCACTGAATTAATTATTTTTAAACTTACTCGTTAATATGAAAACACAATTTTAAAGTGTTCAAATAGCAATGCAATACTGCAATTTAAAATAAAAAAAATAAATTATAGTATTATTATTAATTATTATGAATCTTTAATATTATGAAATGCATGGAATAGTTTACAAAATTAAACGGTTATCGATTATAAACTTAGTATTAGGATACGGAATCTTGAATTGTTTTTTTTTTTTATACTAATGGGCAATAGTTAAGACAAATTAGTAATCACAAAGTATTTTATTATGCTATAATATTTTTGGAGATATTACGAGTGCGTCGCACGATATATTATTATTATGCATACACGAAACTATTTATTGCGATGATGGTTATTTATATGGCAGGACAACCGTAAAAACAGATAAAGCATATAAAACAATATTATTATGAAATTAAAAAAAATAAGTATACATATTAAACGGAGTATAATTTTATTATGTTTCGTAACAACTATAATTAGTGCAACACGTCATGGCACGGCATGCCTAAATCGTTAAAATAGATTAATTCCGTTATTTCATTCATAATCGCAATTCGTCTGGTATCATCGTATAATATATTATTATAGTATTTAAACGACCTAGTGCCTACAATATAAATATCTAATGGATCCGAAATTGTTTCAGACGAATATATATAGTATACATTCTACATACTCAACAAACCCATACACTTATCGACTATCAGTCTACATGTAAAACATAAGAAATCGTTTAAAACCAATATATAATAATATTCGAGTTCGACATGGTCGATTTTTAGTGAAATTTACTTTGATAAAACTTCTTAGAACCGATACAGCAAGACTGAGTTTTTGTAGAAAAAAATATTTTCTTTTACAAAATATCATCATGTCATCATGTCATTGATATAATTATTAGTTAATAATTATTTTAAAATTAAATTAATTTTTATGTAACATTTGTTATCTTAAACTCATTATAGAGTTCCTTTTGGTTATCTATTATTTTAGTTATATATAAATTAACTTATGTTTGTATATTTTATTATTGTTTAATAAATAACGAGTTATTTTTTAATTGAATTCCGAATAATAATTAGTAGGTACATTTTCATAGTTAATAAAACAAAAAAATGTCTTTCGGTGAATGTAAATTGTAATGTATTGAAGTCTCATTACTCATTAGGTACTATGTTTTTTTTATTATTATTATTTATTGTTATAGGTATAAAAGGTAATAGGTATAATAGGAATAAAAGTATCCATAAAAATCGAAAAACTTATTTAATTAAGTGTAAATACCTATTTCTATTTTAATTTATTGGTTTTTATGGTATGTTATGGGATTATAGTAAAAATATTTGGCTCCATGACTCTATACTGTTGATTGTTAGTATAGATACTATATTAGTATAATTACTAGCTATATTAAAATAAGTACTCGTTTAAAAAGTTCTTAAAAAAGTCTTAAAAAAACTATAATACGACCATAATAGTGTTCTTATCTTTAAGTTTGATAATAGATCAATTCACTCCAATAATATATAAAACATGATTTGGTATAGTGTAATTTTGTTGGACGGAGACGACACACGTGGGTATAATATAGCGAATTTATGTTATTTAATACACTGATTAAACACATGTATTGTATAATATAGGTATGTATATTAATTAATAGTTAAAACTTAAAAAAAATAAAAGTAACTACCTAGACGGTATGGCGTGATAATATGATATTTATTATATTGCTATTTAACTTATATCTTGTACATTACTTGCACCGATAAAAATCAGTGAAAAACCATCGGCATGGCAGACGTTCTATATATGCGTACCGCATACATATCAATATTATTTTGATGTCGGGTTATGCGTGCCGCGTATAATAATACTATATTATAATGATGTGAAAGAGACAGATAACAGTCACACGTCAGCGACAGGGACAAACACAAAAAGCCGCGCGGACAAGTGTCTAAGAAATATAATACATAATAATATATATTACCTATATAATATGTAAATAGGAAAATAAAAATAATTCGTTTTTTTTTTTTTTTTAACTTTAACGCAGGTGGACATCAGCAACGAAGAATTCCACTGCAAGTATTTGGAATATTTCCGGCGATTGTATGAGGATGAATCAGAATTTTACGATCCCGACGACAACGATGATGTAACAATGGCAGCGGGTTATGATAATGACGATCACGACGTATCCGCGATACTAGTACGGGGCCGAGTGAAACACTTCGGCGGCAATAACAGAGACGACGAATCTCCGCGGCTGCCGACAGGTAATACGTCATAAATAATAATAATGAATGTCTACTCGTTTATCGTTGGTATAGAAGTATATAACCTATTACCATTGATTATAGATAGTATAACCAATGACATTAACTATCTTTGCCAACGTCCGGCCGTATTCGATGAAAGGACAACGATTAGCAATGTTGGGCACTGGGCTAGTTAATGACTAATATGTAACCCAGTTATTAAAGTTGAACAGTTCAAAAACGATATAATTAAACAAATTCAAAGTTATATTAGACGATTGAAAAATTGTTTCAATTTTAAGTTTAGGTGGAATTCCGTTAAAAATATTTACCTAGGTGGCTAGGTACTATAATACTACCTATATAATTCTATGAAAATAGATTTGTTTTGCAAGTGGCTTATAAGACTTATAAATTATATAAAGTTATATATTAGTGTACCTATTTCCTGGAGATATATATTTTGACATACCTACCTATCTATATTTAAATAGTATAAGTATAACTTAAAACATTGTTTCGATTTAAAAATTATTAGTCAATATGTTTTTAGTTAGGTAGGTTACCTAATTTAAATACGACTTCAACTAACGGTATTTAATACAAACTCGATGTAACTTTGTAGTTTAACTTTAACTTATTATAACTCATTAGTGCCCAATCATTTGCCTCACAAATTCGTCCCTTTGTGTCTTACCGACTTAATATTATATTATTCGGTGCACCAATATTTAAGATGTAACTATACCATCGTCGTATGTAGACGATATGTAGTCGTATGTACTATTTAGGTACATATCCGTATAGGTAGCTATAGGTACTCACTACTCAATGACGATTTTACGATTTACCTTATTTAAGTACGAGTTGATCTTAAATGAATCTGTATATGCCTATTTTCAAGTTTCTTCACTAATTTGTAGAGTTCAAAAACTTGAAACCGGGATCTAAATTATACATGTATAAATGTGTATTAAAACAAAAATTATTAAGTGGATAAAATTGGAAATATTTATTTGAGATCTGACCCACATTTGTTAATATGAGGGGCTGAGTAAGAAATCGGTCAACGTGAGTAAAATTTCCAGACTATGTGTACAATAACCAATAAACATATGCCAAATATAAAAATACATCGATAATTTATGTGCATGCTGATGTTTAGTGATTAAATTAATTTTCAACTTGCCTCGTCAAATAACAAATTAAAAAAAATAACTAGACACATTTTTATTTGTATTCTCATGTTGACTTTATTTATTTGGGTTAATTTTATGGTAAGGTATTTATTACTTTTAATTGTCTTCTAAATAATATAATAGTTGGTTAAACTAAAAATCAATTGATCAACTTAACTACAAATCGTAGGTACTTGCTACTTTATTGGTCGCAATGTTCAATTTTCATTTCGGTCATAATAAATTATGTACGTTCAATATTTATATAATTATTACATTTTGTTGGTTTCTTTCAAGTTTTAATAAACCCACGTATACTTTTAATGTACATTTTATACAATGGAATATGAATACATATAATATATTAAAATAAAATGATTAACTATAATATTTTAAACTCGACATTCACTATTTTCTTTAATCTATTAAGTATTAATATTATCATTAATAAATGATAAGTAGGTACCACGGTTATCTACACAGGTTGGCGCACGCCACTATGATGCTAATGCAGACGTGTGGTCTATGCGGTGACCGTAGTGAACTATTAGCGCTAGTAGTCAGTGGGCCTACGTTTACATTTGTATGTACTGGGAAATCGAAGATTTTTTATTCAAATCGTTAATATCGTCCAAACGACTAAAAATACGAATTAAAAACATTACACAATTATTGTAGACCGTGAAAAGGTGATAAGAACACAACCGACACCTAACCTGGAGATAACATGATAACTGCACGAAAAAGACGAACAAAATAATTTTCTAATTTCGACAATATTGTTCTGTAATCTGTATGACTGTATGTCTTTTTGTCATTACTTAATTGGTAGTAGGTAGTTTTATTGCGATGGTGGCTAAGTGTTGTATAGTTGGATGTACTTCAGGCTACAAAAGCAACACAGAAAAGGTACAAAAAAATTAGTTAATTTTATAACAATTAGTTAGTTATTATATTCAATATTCAGTAGTATTTAAGAAATATTAAAATTAAGTAAAATTAAATTATCTAAAGATAAAATGTAAAGTTATGTTTTAATATAGCTTTAAATTTAGTTCATAAGTTGAAATAAATATAAATTATGTAAGTTGGTATATTATAGTATATGTATTCCTTTATTTATGTATTTAGCATATGTTGGTGAGTTGAATATCAGTAAATCATTGGACAGTGATCATAATGCATCATCCAAAGCTGAATTAACAAATATATTACCTTTTTTTCATTATTTTTTTTTTTGGTTTTCAGGCTACAAGAATCTTTACTGGGATGAAAAAACAAAAATAAAATTATTATAAACTGTAAATTAGTTAGGTATAAAATTAGTTATTAAGTATTAACCAACTACTAAATAGGTTTTATTACATAAAGAATAAGTAATGAACAAAGTAATAATAACATATTATTATGTTTATTTGATATTTTATTTTACAGATATTTTATAAATAAAATAAATTATAACTGGGTAAGAAAGACTTGTAGTCATTAATTATTATTTGCTGATGTCAGCCATTTAGAGAGTTTTTCGAAGTATAAGTCAAGTGTTGGGGGAATTATTTTTTTATGTAATTAAATTACATTAGATACTAATTAAGTACTCAGCTTTCAAATATAGTAATTAAAAAATTATAATTTATAATCACGATTAGAATTATTTCATCACGAGTGAACTCGTCCAGCCGGTAACCAGTTAGGCCTTGTGACTACTAGCGCTTTAGTTCACTGCGTTCGCCGCATCGACCATCGATAACACGCCGTGCGCCAACCTGTGTAGATAACCGTGGTAGGTACTTAGAGCTCCGCACGACATCGGTCATCATCGCGATAAAAAATGCAGTTATTAAATTGTATCAACAAGTCGTTTAGATAAATTAGACCTAAGAGAATAAGATAATCTACTAAATCACAGGTACATATAATAATGCCTACCTATAAATAAATCGATTGTGAGCAAATATTATTATAGTTGATTTTTTTGAGTGAACACTATTCATGCACGTGCTAAATTTTTCATCCTCATTGTAATTATAATCTATCAAATTAACTATTATATCTAACCTTATTTATTTAAAGGTATACATTACCTACAGATTAACGGGTTCGGTCACACTTCAGTATCTAGGTATCCAATGAGTAATATATTTTTTAAACAAAATTTAAATGACCATGGTGTTACAAAACATAAAAAAATAATATATACAATTAATGTATTATTATTATTTATTATGTTTCTATAATATGAAATTGATATTTTAGTTATAATCGACGCCCAGTGTTAAATCGACATCATGTATGCACTGTCATAATATCATTCTGGATGATGACGCTTGCTATAGTAAAATATATTTTAAAAATTCGATTAACCCGACATTTCAGCAGATATTAACGGAACTTTTCTCATATTGATTATATATATTTAGATTACCGGTACCTACCTGTATTTTTCCGCAGGGCATGTTATTCTTCGACACGTTTTGTGTTTAGTACGAAATTTGATTTCATTATTTAAAACTAATTGAAATTTTAAATTGTATTGTTGTGAATAAAAAATTTAAATAACAGTTAAGGTTAATAAGAAAAAAAAGTTGATGCAAACGTAGAAATCTGCATGTATGTCACATTTACTTTTCTAAAACCGTTGATTGATGACTATATTATGAGCAATCGGCTAAGAGTTTTTTTTTTTAAATGTGGGCGTATATAACACAATATACATGGAATAAAATATTTATATTGGTATACTTAATATTATGATTTTTATTTGTGTGTTATCGCTGTGTGTATGTGACTTTTTGTTAATGACTTTACGGGTGTAGGTTATGGAAAGGGTGTGGTGAAACGTTGACAAAACCGGAAATTAAAGAGCTCTTTTTTTAAAACATTTATTAAAATAAACAATATAGTTATTATCGGTATAATATTAATATTTATCACTAAGACACGACTTCAGTGATTTCAGTTTTCCACTCTTCAGAGTTAAGATTTCAGTGTTCGAAAACATTACGGTCATGACTAGGTTAGGTTAGGTACTCCTACACTAACTTACAAAATAATATGATTCAAATTAGATAGGTTCTTTAGAACCTTTTCTATAGATAACTTTTAAGATCAACAAGTATTTTCTTAGTAAAATCCTAAATAAGATAAGAATAATTATAAATAGTAGGATAGAATTTTATACAAATAGAGGCATGATGTCATAAATTGATAAATCGATAAAAATATCATGGTGTATTATAATATATAACTGGAGTACCTATAACAAATATGTTATACAATTTTAACTACTGTAATAATAAGCACAAGGTACACGTTAATAACAAAAAACTCGACGTGTTTGTGTTTCAGATGATGATGGAAATGTGATGCAGAGCACTGCGACGATCACGTTCCCGATTGATGAGACGATGGTGCGCGGCAGCGGCGGACGCGTGACAGTCATAAAATCGGTGGCGCGAATCTATGCGGACGCCCCTCATGTACGGGTCCAAGTGTACGGCCGCCTGCTAAAGTCAGCCGTTGCCGTATCAAGGGAAACCCCGTCTCTTGTCGCCGACCTCACGAGCGGTGGCGGTGGACGGTGGATGGACGTGGACGTCACTCGACTGTTGCGGCCGCGGAAACATCACCACGGTGGTGATGCGACAGCCACGTCCTTGGAACTGTCGTTGCGGTATTCAGCAACGGCTGCCGGATCGATCCATTTTGGAAACGAAACGGACACCGATGACAGCCGACATCCTGTTTTGCACGCTTTCATGGACGGGGCGGTGGATGGCGGCGCTCTTTCGGCGACCGTGGCCGTCCGATGCTCCGGCGAAACGAATCGGAAAAAACGAGACGGTGGCGGTAGTCGCGGTCGTGGTAAAAAACGTCGTCGGCCAGCCTCGTCTGGCCTCGTCCGTCGGACCGACTGCAAAGTCGAAACGTCGGTGGCTGCGGGCAACGACAACGGGACCGAGCATGGCGGCGGCGGTGGGAACAAATGTTGCCGGGAACAGATGCGTGTCGTTTTCGCCGACATTCCGGGCTTCGATTTTATCGTCGAGCCCAAGTGGTTCGATGCTGGCCTTTGTCGGGGACGGTGCCCGGCAAAGTACAATCCGGCCACCCGGCACGCATTCATCCAGAGCCTGTTGTGGAAACAGCACAACAACCGACGTGGGGGAGTCACCGGTGGGGAGAGGCGGTCTCGGAGAAAGGTCCGCCACGGCGGTGGTAGCGTGGTGGCAGCCACGACAAAGGCCCCTCAGCCTCCACCCAAACCGTGTTGCGCTCCCAGAAAACTCGACCGGTTGCAGATTATTCACGTTGACGAGTTGGACCCGAGCTCGCTGAAGGTGACCACGTGGAAAGAAATGGCTGTCGTGGAATGTGCTTGTTCGTGATCGATGTCCTTCGGGTTAATGTTGACGACAGTGCACGATGAAAGTGTCGCATCCGACACCAACCCCTTCGCCGATTACAGTATTATTTCATTGTTGATATAATCGAGCATGGGTAAACATTAATTATCGTATGCGATGTATGAAGTCCCGCTTGGAATGGTTTTTTCCCCTCCCTTATCATCGCTTAATTATATTGTTTTTTCGCGTTTTCTACAATATACTATGTTTGGTCATTCAAGTATTTAAATTTCAAAATGATTTTTGATCCCGCCATTTCAAAGATAATAATATTTTTGATAACGATTCCGTAGACGGCAAATCTAAAATCATGAACTACTTGGTGCTTTTCATATTGAGCATTTTTATTATTTATTTATTTATTTATTTATTTTAAACTCAAATAGTCAGTACAGTTTTTCGGTATCACACAAATGTTGAAAAATTCCGTATCGACGATAAGAGGTGGCCATGTATAAAATAATGAATAGGAGACGAATCCGAATGTTTAACATTTATTATAGCCCTATAATAGGTAATAAGGAAAGATTTGTTGATCTCGGCGCCGCGGTCGCATAGTGTTTAAGCAATTTAACAAATATTACGTATTATGTATGCGATGTATGCGCGTTCGATGACGAATCGCCAAGATGTAAGGGCCAAAATTATATTATACTATTATTATTTATTGTATAATATGCTCAAAATGATCTAACGAATTTTATATTGTTTACCAGTTTAATATATTATATTATATTGTTTATTACGCATTAGTTACATTTTCTATTATACAACTATATAGCTATTAATTTAAATGTTTAGACTTTAGATGAGTGTTCATAATATATAATAAAAAAGTTTTGATGGTTTTGTATAAATAGGTAACTTAAGAAACTTGCTAGGGCCCAACTTGTGTTCATATATTTTTGTATAATATTATAATCTCAGAAAATTAATACTTTGTATTACTATTATTATAATTTATAGTAAGTATTTATAAAAACGAATCGCGGTCAAGTTCAATGTCGTTTAATTGAAAACAATAACGACTGTTTGTACTCTGTAACACCACGTTGATTTATTTATGAATTATTATTGTTTGTAATTTTATCTCTGCATCTACGATTTTAAAACGTTTAAGCGCTCTCTGTAGTTTTAAGCGTTATTGCAAATATTCACCACTAAAATGTTATTTTTTTTTAGCCCTCATGTAGGTGTGGATTATTAAGCATTAACTATATTTTATTATTTGTTTATTTATTTATTTATTTATTATTTTATATTTTAATACTTTGACAAAGATACACGGTATCGTCACTGTGCATAACTGACGTAGAATATTATAAAATGATTAGTTTTGAACTCCAATATTATAAATTATAATATGACTAGGTATATGACATTTAAATATGGTATGATGTATTTTTATTACCCACGTGGGCAAGGAATTATGTAGCGTAATATTCTTAAGTACGAGTTTAATATTAGCCTTAGCTCATTATTTTTAATAATTTTTGTACAAAACACGATCGGACGTAACGGCATATTACATTAGGTACCTATATTATAGTATTATCTTGATTAATGCGCTATGTCCTCAAGGTGAATCCCATCCTATTTTAATCATATTATAATATTTTAATTTGTATTCTATATAATATCACAGAGATGTTATAGTAAGCATTTTTTGTTTTTTTTTTCTTTAGTACGCGTGTTTATCAATAAGTAATGCGTTTTTCTGCAGTACATTGTTGTTTTTTATCTTATATTTAATATTATATTTTATGTATACATTTTTTTACTGTATATACCTACCTACTCAGTACTCATCGACTAAATTATATCGCATTATAATATTAACGCAATCGGAAAGTGCCGACACTTAAAACAATTGTTAGCTATAAGCCTATAAGTGTATAATACTATTTTCTTTTTTATTTACAATCCTTTTATCAAATGTATAAAAAATAAATCTTAAAATACCCAAACGTATCACATCTAACATACTTTACACGCTAAAACGTAATCACCTATACGTAGGTACATACAAATATAAAATACAATATTAGACTATGTGAAATAGTTTTGTTACCGGTTTCGTAGTTTATCGTTCTTTTTACTGTTTACGGTTCTATAGTATCTAAATAAACAATAAATCGTTCAACCGTATGTTATTAATAATTTATATAGACAAACGATAGGTAACGCTATAAGGAATAAGTGATTAAAATAATATTACATTTTAAGCAATACCTATATTTTGACTGTGATATTTTTTACCTATTATTAATGTTAGTAGTAGTTAAAAGTATGTACTTAAATAGTTAAATAGAGTTTGATTTCAATTTTTCTGTTTTTTTAAAAGATTTTTTTTTAATAAATTAATAATTATTGTCATAATAACACGCGACGTGTGATTACCATAATATTGTGTCATCTGCGGTAACGTGACGTCTGCATAATGCGTATAATAATATTATAATGATTGTGAAAAAAATAAATGTCTTTGCGTTACGTTTGTTTTGATTTTTTTATTATTATTATTATTATTTCTCTAGTGCCCTAGAAAATATCAAGGAAATAAAAACAAAATTAAAATGTCGTCGAGCTCTGGAAGATGTGTGTAATAATATTTACAAATGACAGAACTCATTCAGAAAGTATGCGGCGCTTACGGATGACGAACGCTAATTATAACTTGTATTGCAGTTATTTTCAGTACGGATTGTAACTATTATATAATGATAATACGTATATATATATATATATAAATATTATGTACTCCGCCTCGTTGTTTATATTTGATTTTACAAGGAAATACTTAATAATTATATTGTATAATGATATGTAAATTTAGATCAACTAGTCAACACTGGTAGAGGTGGGCGACGATTAAACTCGGTTTAACGATCAAAACAACATTTTTTCGGTGGTAAATTATGGGCCATTGGAATGTCTAAAAATACTTAAAGGCACAAGCGTAGGTGGACGAATTTGGTGGCATTATTTTACATTTGTAAACGGCGTCGTTTTACGAGTACTTAATATAATATATGTTACAATAATATCGTAGTTATCGAGCGGAAATCTGTGCATAAGTAACCCGCAGTACGGCACACGGCGGTATAAATGTTATACTTCTTTCTTTCTTAGGTGGGTACGTTTTATTTACTTGAACGATAATCTAAATTTATGAGTAGGTACCTACTTATGTCTACTTACGCATCTCGTTTCAATCAGAATCGCGACAATACAATCAAAATCGATCTCGTCCAAAGTGGGTGTGTGGAAGGTATTCCGTACGAATCGTACGATCATAGTCACATTATTAATACCTTTAATAATTATTATCTGTTGCTACCTATATGAGATACGATATTCCTACAACAACATTCGATTCACGATTTACCTACGTGCAGGATCGGGTACTTGAAACTTTAAGAGAACTCTACCTGAAATAAAGGATAGTTCATACACTTCAAACAATTCACAACAATATACCTAAACGTCTCATAAATATTAGGATATCTAAAATGTGTAGTAATCATCTAGCTGTAACCAGGTAAATATAGACTAATAGGTGTTTTTACCAACAAAATTATCGATTATATTTCAATTTTCAATATTTCTGAATGACTTTTGAGTATTTTTTTTAGTATTAATGTATTATATTACCTATGACATTTGCCTTGTCATTCTTAAAACTAATCGATATACTAATTTGCTTATGCTGTGAAAGTTAAGTAACGTGAACACAAAATAAAATAAATTTAACCCGCTAAGTTAATATGGAAAACATATTACCTTAACTTAAAGTTTCAAACTATTTTTTTTTAAAATTAGTACGTGGTTCACATAAAAAAATAAAAAAATATGTGCCTACTACCTAATCTATATGTATAATATTGTTTTAATAAGAAATATAACAACATAATCTATTATTATAGACTTTATACTTTATAGTAGAAGATTATTTTTGTATAGAACCTCGTAAAGTTACAGATGTACAGTATAGAACCATTAAAACCAAAAAGTCGAACAAATTTTAACTTGATAGGTTATTTTTATATCAGCTGAAAAAGCTGAGTTAACAGTATTTTGAACTAGTAAGTTCTTAAAATAATTAGGAAATTAACTTACTAAGTTAACTTTATAACTAGTTAATGAAATTTGCTAATTTGCAGCTTCGTAAGATATTAGACGTTACCAAAAAAAAGTTCTGGTAGGTAGAACCTCTATCTAACAGCATAGTAATTATTAATTACGTAATACGTTACTATAATTCAACCGACTTCTCGAAGATTGAACCCACCCGTAAATGCTTTACAGGCTTCTTTCATATATTCATATTATTTATTATCACAAATTACAACATTGATATATTATATTTATTGTCAATATAAGTATTTTGTATAGGCCCCCACAAAAATGTCCATAGCCCCACCCAAACATTTCCTACATATTCTTTTAAGCTTATTCAATATTATCAAAGTAGGTAAGGTTTTAGCCCCCCCCCCAAAAAAAAAAAAAAAATCCCAAACTCTATTTGCACCTATGTATATGTAAGTAAAACATAATCACATATGAATAAAATATTTCGAATATTTCTTTGATCAGTATCAATTATCTCGTACTATCGTTGAGTATATTATTTTCACATAGTCAATATATTTTATTTTTTAAGAGCACACGATAAGATCGATAAAAATACTGTCTGAAGTAGGTATAAAAGTTTTTTATTTAAGTATTAGGTACTTAGTAGGTGTAAAGTATATAGATATTTAGTATAGTACTTTTGTGAATCTTATAAGTTAGTCATCGGGACCTAAATAATTATTTTCTATGTTTAATGTTATTGTCGTACTATCTTTCGTTATAACTTATAATTACATCTATTACCGATAATTGACACAACTATGTTTGTACAAGGTGCCAGTGCATTTCGATTTATTAGATTAAACACTCCTTATTAATTGTAAATCATACCTTCATCATAAGTGATTGACCTACTTACACTGGTAAAAAATAATTACTGTCGTACGATACGTACAGCCATACAGGTACCTTGCTTTCTATATCGCAACCTATTTCCGCCAGTTTAATGTTCTGTTCACATTTTAGATTCTTAGCGGATGTGTGTTTTACTGTTTTTTGTATTTTTTTTTTTGTGTCCGTGTAGTGTGTACACGATAAGTAGTTGAAAAAGTACTTCGATTTTCAACTTCAGTGTCTTGTTCAATGGGTAAATGAATCTAGTTGGTGCATTTGGGAGGTCAAAATTCTCAAAAGCGCAGGGAAAAAACAAAAACAAAATTAAGGTAAAACGGGCATTTTTATGCAAAAACGGTTTTCGAAAAAATCTATTTTGGTTTTTGGTGCACCTTTAAAACAAATGACCGAAGATACATGACATTTTCAAGGAATGTTTATATTAGCATTTCTTTACACCATAGATTTTTAATATATTTCGACTTGTTTTGAGATGTTTACGTAGTTTCCAAATTGTATAGTTTTTTTTCTATACATGTCTATATAATGTTATTCGTTGGGTCAATAAGTTTGAAAATGTAATACAAGGCGCCTAGTATATTTTTACAAAAGAAGTTGAAAAATGTGAAAAATGCATAGGTACAATTTTTTTTAAGCATTTAAATGTTCAAATGTTAACAAAATGTATCATATTTAAAAATTATTTTGTAGTTAAAAATGAATACAATTTTCAAATTGTATTGCTAAGGATTAATAATTCAAAACAAGGTTCCAAGTAAATTATTTTGTAACTAAAAAACTAAATAATATAAAAACCCAATAATTTTTATATAGTTACTTTAAGCTCAAATTGGGACAAAATTCGATATTTAAATGAAAAAGAACGATTTAGTTTTATGTTGTATTTTTAAAATATATTATTCGTTGAAACTTCTAAAATATAATATTATTATAAACAGATATGATGATAAACAAATAATAATAATTCAACTTAAGAGGACGTCGCTCCCGCATATGTTGTCTCCGTCTCACACTAGTACAACATACCAAATTTTAAGCTCAGCAGATCACGTTTAGCCCCGTTAAGTTTAAAACTAGGGTGAATTGACATATTATAAAATTAAAAGGTAAGAACTATCTAGTACATCTCATCAGCTTTTTGTTATATTTTCATTTTAAAGTGAATTATGAGTATTAAAAGATGTATAAACAATTTACAATTTTAAAATACTCTTCAGTTGGTCTTCAATTCTCTCATCGTATAACTTTTCTATATAATATTCAAATTTTTAGATGTTCAGAAAAAGGTAATGCTACCCTTATTTTTTTTTTATTTCAGTTCCAATAGAAACTATGTGATGCCCGTTTTATTATAACAAGCTTAGAAAAATGATTTATTTAATATTATAAATTTAAAATTAATGCCTTGATGAGATAAAACTGTTTTGAAGAGTAACAGAAACCATGCTAAAAATCGTTCTTTTATACCACAAATATTTTATTTACAAAAGCAAATCATTGGTAAACTGTGTTTTATTACCTACATAAAGATTAATAGGTATTGAAAATATTCTTAACACAATGAGATAATAAAATAAACAGATACTTGAATTATTAAACTCAATGACTCTTCTCCTTAAATAGAAAGTGTTTGATCAAAACAATGAAAAAGTATTATCATTACATACATTTTTCTAAGTATTTTTGACACATTAGAACAGGAGTCCGCTGGCCGCACGTGGCCTCGAGGTAATTTTATGTGGCCCCTCGAGTAAAATTTCAAATTTGTAATGTGTATAAAAATTACAAAGACAGTATGGATCGAAATCTATTGTTTGTTTGTAGATATCTTGTTAAATTAATTAACATAAGAGCTATGAACTTAAATAAGCTAAATTTATAATTATACATTATTGTTTAAAATATAATAATGAACCTATTACCTATATATTCAAATTGTGGCCTTTGAAATTTTTTTTACCCTTGACATTATAAAGTTTGCCGACCCCTCTGTGTTCGATAATAACTGATGGGGTAAATGGTATTGCAATAGGAAGGTATTAATTATTTTTAATTCAAAGTAAAAACTACTCGTTGGAAACGTTTTATAGAGATATAACTTAGTAAAAACGTATGGGAAAAATAATATCTATCATAAATTATCATTAGGAAATTATCAACAAGAAAAATTGGCAATAAAATATAAATAATATTATATTAAGACGGGATTAAATTTCACCTATATGACAACATTACTCGTGTAAGTAGATATTTATGAAATTAATTTTTAATCGAGGTAAGTACCTAGTACTTATGAATAGTTATATGATTTCAACTCAGTTACTATATAACTCATAAGGTAGATATTTTATAATTTATATATCTTTGTTATTTCACGATCTATTGTTCTGATCATGAACTTGTTGTTAGTAACGAAAATTACAAATTACTGTAACGAAATTTATATTGTAGTAGCCAGTAAATCTGTAGTAATTTCATTATAGTTTATTTAAATTAACACAATTGTAACGAATTTCTTTTAACCTTTGATAACGCGCGTGGTTTTTAGAAACGTAACTACGCGCGTGGGGTAATTTTATACCCCATATGAAAATCAATTGAAAATTTACACAATTTACAGAAATAATTTACCTAACAAAGATACATTACATGTGAACTTTTATATATTTTATTTCAATTAATATAATATACATATTGTATAAATAGAATATAATTTATATTAAAAAATGAAGCTGAAAATATCATTAACTAGATCCCGAGCTAGATCCTCTATGTTAATTTTAAACTAACAAAAACTAAAATTATTAAATTAAATTGGTTTTTTTATTACATATCTATAAAACAATCCGGACATGTTTCTATTATATGATCACGACAAATTAATCTCGCACAGTTCGTACAAACTTTAGTGGTTTTCCTATCTTTGGCCCTTTCACAAAATGCACATCTCCCTGATGCTCGAACTCGCTGACTGGTACCAGCAGCTTCATTAGTTTTCGTAGCGTATTGTTTTAGTCTGAACTTAATGGTCTTGGGCAATACATCTATTGTCAAGCGATATTTTAACTGTTCTTCCATCAATTGTCGAGACAAAGTTTTCAAGAAATTTAGGCGTGACATTTTAATATTTGTATTTTCTTGAAAGATTATTTGTGAATTAAGTCCAGCAATATTCAGTATTGAATAAAATACAGTTAGTGGCCATCGACAACTTTTTCGGGCAACTGTATAATTCTCGGTTTTTTTGTCCATGGTGTCTACTGCACCTTTGGTGCAGTTATAAAAAGTGATTATTTCTGGTTTTTTCATTTCTTTTGTACTTTCATCAATTGTTGAGCTATGATGCATAGTAGACAATAGCAAAACAATTTTATTTTTTTTAGGGGTATATGATACGATTGTAACTTTATCTTCACTAAAACCAAAATAAGACGTGTAAATAGGACGACTTTTTGTAGATGTAAATTCAATTGGAAGCTGTCGTTTGTTTTTTCGAATTGTTCCTACTAGAGTAAGTTTGTAATTATTGAATAGGTCAATTGCAAGTGGTACACTAGTGAACCAATTATCAGTTGTAATATTGCGTCCAGTATTTCTAATTGGTTGTACTAACCGTTTCACTACACTTGATGCTGAGTTATCAAGTTTGAATGGACCATCTGGCTGAACTCCAGCGTATATCTCCAAGTTACCTACTTGTATAGAAATTTATGGCATCACATACAGCAAAAATTTTAATACCATATTTCGCTGGTTTGTTAGGAATATACATTTTAAAACTACAGCGGCCTCGAAAAGCTTGTAGTTTTTCATCGATTGTTATATATTCCGAAACTGAATATGCGTTCTTACAATTATCAACAAAATGTTCAAATACCCACCTTATGTGTGTTATTTTATCCATCTTAGTTCTTTCATCTCTACCACGAATATCATCAAAACGAATACATCTTAGTAAAAATTGAAAACGCTTTTCGGACATCACACATGGTAACAATTCAGCTCCGAGTCCGTCAGTTTTCCACAAATCTAATGTACTTCGATGTCCACCTTTGATAGCTCCTAAACACAAATTATTACCAGTAAAACTTTTGTCCCAGGAAAATACGAATAATCACAAATAGTATTAATATTAATAATTATAATGTTAGGATAAATATGTTATAATTACCTATAATGTACAAGCAACCGATTAGTGCTTTTATTTCACGATTGTTGGTATCCAAGGCATCGCGATCTCGAGCAAAGTTAGAACGGACTTTAGCGATATATATATTTGTACATTTTACAATTGTTTCAATTATTGGATTGGAAAAAAATATTTCCCAAGATTCTATTTCTGATTTCGCATTTTTGGCCACACCTTTTACGCCGGATTTTTCAGTTACTAAATTTTGTTGAATAGTGCGAATATTTTGAGTAGGTTTCTTACGAAACCATTTGGTACCATCTTTACCAACGAAATATTGAACTCTCATACTCAAAGGGACATCATCATCTGATTCATTATAACTGTTGTCGAAGTCCTTCTCGTTTACCATTATTTCATCACGTTCATGATCGTATTCTAAATCATAGACAGATTGTTCCGAGTCGGTATCATGGTCAGACCGATTATCATTTTCAACGACATTTTCGTCACCACTAGATTCACCTCCCCAAACTTCAATAATTTGGTCAGTTTCTTCTAAATAGGACTCAATACGTCTTTTTTCAAAATCATCCATGTCTAATGCAATAACGCACAACACGTGCGTATTGTAAAACTAAACTGTAATACTACTAATACGAACTACGAACTAATACAAAAATCATAACACAACTACGCGCGTGGGGTAAATAATTGCCGGATTCGGGTTTCACCTGTAACGGCTGACCGTAGCGGCGACACTAATGACCAAATAATGGTGGAATTATTTGGTAACTATTGACAAACTAAATTTAGGAAGGTATATGAAGTCATTAAGTGATATCTTTTACGATAACGTTGGTATTGCGATAGTAAACTTGTATGGGGTCATTATTTACCCCGCGCGCGTTATCAAAGGTTAAAAGTAATTTCTATGGAGTAACGTGTTATTTTCCACGTTATTATAATAAGTTATGAATGTAGAGTGCATGACATAATCTAAGGGTTAGGATATTCCAGAAAAATTAAAAATCTATAAAATGTATTTACTATTCTGAAATTTTTAGATAATAATGCTGAATATTATAAATGATGCAGGAATTTTAAGCATTTTATTCATGCGCAGATATTACATTCATCCATTATCAATATATTAAGTGTACTGGTGTACCTACATATTCAATGTCTTACATACACTACTATACAATTTATATATAATAATTAATAGTATACCTACTACTTATTATATTCGTTATGGACTAAATTTGACGTTAAATGTTGAAAAAGTAACCTCGTCACGCATTACTTTTTGAATGAAAAATTAACATAACGTGATAAAAAATAATGTCGGGTAACTCGAATTCAATTTAAATAAAAATATTCAATATAATGAGTAACGTAATTGAGTTTCTTATCGAAAGAAATCTACCCAACACTGGATAGTTTTTAGCTCGTAGTTCTGATGATCAAGCCAGGATTAAGGGGATCGACCTTAGGCTAGCAACGGTATTTATATAGTCACGATCACATCTATCAAATTGGTTGTAGGACACTTTGTACGGTCATCTAGAAAAAATTAAAACCGCGGACAGTTTGTACCATTTTACGTAGTAACAACCGTCAATATGGCGAACAGTTTGTACTATTTCAAATAACAATACAAATATACAATGTATATGGCTGACAGTTTGTACTATTTAAGGTACCTAGATATAAGAGTGTATTTTTCAAATGAAAAAAAAAAAAGATACAAGTGCTTATATTATGTATATAATAATAATAATAATAGTTATGATAGTAAATTTGTAGTATCTACAGGCTTCATGAATTTTTAATAAAATTCACTGTCAATTATATGTCATAAATCATATAATATATAAATTTAAAAATAATAATAATAATAGTTAATATAATATTTAAAAATTAAAAGTATGGCAAATTATTTCAAGTAATTGTGTATTTGTAATTATTTTATTTTCGTGCTGTGTACAGGCTTCGTGGATTGTTTTTTGTGTATTTTGATTTTTTTTTCTTATATTATTGTTTAAATGACTTAATGACTAGCACATTCGTCCAATTGCAAAGAACGCAAAACACTCCAGAAACTTGGATTAGCCGATCCAACTAATTTATTGAATGAACTGTTCCATCCTTCGCTAAAATTATTTGTCCTATGCGAATTATTCATCGTTTGATTTCTGACGTTCCAAATTTGAAGAGGGAATCTTGGTGTACCATTATTTCCGCTAATATACGTAGAATCAAAATAAGATAATAATGGAAATAGTTCTTGAGTACAAGTTAAATACATATTAACTATTTCATTGGGTATTTCTTCAACTGGCAAAAACGCTAAAGATGTCACCATTTTACATTGTTTTGCTACTTGTGTGTTATCTATATACATTTTGGATAATCCTAAATTTTGTACCTATTTGTCGCCATACACTCTGACACAAATGGAAAAAGCAGCCCTGAATTTTTACTCGATTAAAAATTAGGTTAAAAGCATTTATTACTCCTATTTCAAAATCAATAATTATAGTTTCTGGTTTAATCGGTTCCGAATAGATGCTAAAACAACATTTGTAAGCATTTCTTCTTACGTTGTTTGTAATTTATTTGGGAGCAGTGGCGTAATTTGGTCATGGTGGTGGGGGGGGGGATGAAATTTTTGTACATTTCACCATATACCCCCCCCCTCCTCAATATTTTTTTATATCATATATAAGCAATAAACACTTCTCAATACAAGTACACAATATTGTATACAATAAAATAAATAATAACAAAATATGTAGGTACATTTAAACATTAACTTTATTGGTACTACGTAGGTCCTAGATACTACATACACTGAACTAAAAAAAGCGATCAATATAATAAAAATATAGATTAATTTGAAAAAAATATCATTAATAATGACCCCATAAACATTTTATCAAATTGATGAAGAAACATTTGTCAGTTCAGAAATTGAAAGTTTGCTTATAGAATTTATATCAATTTAATAAATTATTTATTATGTCAATGAATTTAATTGTATACTATTGATAAATACTTTATCACCTTAATAAAATACATTATTAATTAATAATAAATATATTATTTAGGCTATAGCGATAATTTATCAATTTGACAAAATATTTATTGTCTTGAAAAAATTATTTTAGTTCAACCAAAAAAGTAATTTGGATTATTATTGAAAAAAAATATTCATTATTTTTATTGTAAAAAATTGGCTGTATAAATATGTGATAAATTCATCATTATTACATATTGATTCCAAGAAGAAATCAGGATGTTTTCATTATGTAATCAGTAAATGTAAAACAATATTAATGCAAAATTATTTATTATATATATACTCCAAATATACACATCATTATAAGTATACAACAAAATAACATATTTTAGAACTTAGAAAAAAACTAAAGAAAATTTAAATGAAAAAAACTATAAACTTAATAATATAATACTTTGGTATTTAGATACATATATTTAACGAATACAATTAGTTTTATATATTTAATAAATTAATAATATTATGAATACCTATGTATATTTTAATGTTGTGTATAACAAAACAACATAATAGTTTATACTCGTATATGAAAAATTAAATTATTTATCATAAAATGGTGTGCTATGTATATAAAAGTATGAAGTATAGATGTATAATTTCTTAACATTAAAAAATAGTACACAAAATAACATATTTTAGAAGTTGAATAAAAACATTGAAATAATTTAATAAGTTTTAAAAAAAACTAAAGAAATTTCATACAAAAAATTAATCAACAAGATAATATTAATTATTATACCTTAGCATTTAGATACATAAATTGAACAAATATAATTAGTTTTAAATCTATATAACAAAATTATAGACAAAAATATTTTAATATCTTAGACTAGGTATATGAATGAATTTATTATTTTTGTTTCTTCAAACTATGTAACACTTGGGTAACTAATTGGTGTGGAGTAT